GACTCTCGATAAGTAGTAACGGCAGGTTTACTCAATTCTACTCCCTATAACCCTTCAACCGTCTCCCCTAGTCTAGCATCCTCGGTATCGTAGTACTCTTCATTTCACGTCTGCATCGAATTTTATGCGCACACGTGCCCAGTGTACCCAAAGGAGGGATTGCAAGGTCCGGTATAGGTATTTCGAGAACGTCTGCGAACTTGATATTATGTTCAATTTGGAGAAGGCACATTTCATCCTGGATGAGATGCTTGCTAACGGCTGCATAGCGGAAACCAATAAGGCCAATGTAATATCTCAATACCACACCTCGTTGAAGTTCCCTTCGATTACAGGTACTAGCTCCTTTATATTTGCTCGACAAACACGGTGATGGTGCCCAATAGTGTTACTGTATAGTTGCGTATTCGTTTCTTCCCTCATTCATCCTAATAGTGTTGCGTTACTATGACTTGCAATGAACACAAATATCATTGAGGTTAACTTGTAACCTAGGTTGAATACCGATGCGGATGGTCGCTTCGCTCCGCTAGCGATTCGCACTGCCGAGATGTAACCCTAAGGCGACCGTATATGGTGATACAGTCACTCGCAGAAGAAGCTTCTATATTATATCAAAATACCACCACTCCCGGGAGTACGTACCGAAGAGTATGTAGACACGTGTAGGTTCTGTAAGGGAGCAAGTTCAACGACTGCACAACGCAATGGGGGAAATGGCGCTCGCCGCATTTACCTTTGCATATGTGGCACCAGTTTGGGTAGTTACGTGCTTCGGAAGCGCGACAAACTCGCGCTCCGAGCATAAAGAATTTCACGTTGGTAGCAGATTGTCGAATAAAAAGAATCCATGGAGTATGTGCAGTGATTCTGCTCCAACTACGGTATGAACAAATTTTTTCTTTAGTGGTGCAGGGGCCCTCGACTAGTTGTAGTAGTACTACGGTAGTACGTCACGGTGGCAGAATACGAGAACAATCGTATTCCATCATAGCGAATCTAATGCCGTTATGAGTGTCGTGAGTATTGATGAACCAAACCCGTAGGAAATAAGTGGAATCTAATCTTATTACACCAGGTCCTCTTATATCATCAACGACTAGCGCAGCTTGTGCTATATTTTAGCTAAAGATATGAATGGAAGTGAAATAACACAAAATGAGGACACGAACCTACAAGATCTTAGCTGAGATCACCACGCCCCCCCTCCCCCCCAGTTGATTATCAACTATCGTCCTCATTGGCAGCAACGATATTTCTCACATGCTCACGATCAATGTTAGCATTGAGATCATCGTCACGCTGTAAATCAACACTACGATTGTAAACCCTCACAACCTTGTAGCGTACACGGTCGTTGACAGCAGGGTTGCAGCGACGAACATAGTTTGCAACTTGGAAAGACTTCAGTTGGCCACGACCTTTAGTGTCCTCTAGAGACATATTCTTGGCGACAACCAAATCATTAACGGCTGCAACCTTACGACCAAGAATACTAGAGTAGGGACGTTGAAAAAAAGTCTCAAAAGCCGTCAAGCCATTGTCCAAAGGCGCCAAGTTAACACATCTGTTGACATAGGCCAAATGAACAGACCACTCGCGCTTCTCAGCACGACTCATAGTAGCAAACTTAGCTTTTACTGACCCAATGCATCGTTCGGCTTTACCATTCGAGAATGGAGAATGCCGAGGAACTCCTACCCAAGTCACACCTTGACCAGCAAGTAGGGACCGGAAAATACGAGAAATAAAACCACTACCATTGTCACTCTTGAAAAAGCGACACCAACCGATACGTTCACAGACCCCGGATACAGCCCTACAAAGCTCACGAGCTTCTAGAGTCTTCAGCGGGACCAGCCAACAGAAGCTGGAGAGGGCATCAACCATTACAAGGAAGTATCTAAAGCCAAAGCGATCCTTGATCAACATGTCTGCGATGTCGGCATAGACTGTACTCCAGACTCCATCAAGATCAACCGTAGAGTCACCGTACGAATACTGACCACCAGAAGAGGCCAATTTAACCCTCTTTTCGACACATTGAGGGCACTCTTCTGATTACAGCTTCAGCAGCTTGCTACGAACCTAGAAGATCTTAGCTGTGATCACCACAATGAGCAACAGGCAGCCGGGGCTGAAACCGGTCGGTAAATCCCACCCCAACTTTTGCCCTTATGCCAGTTGTTTCACTGGTCCCTCATCCCTGAGGGCCAGCTTTATTACATGGGAGTGTTGTGTTGATGTGTTTAGTGGAAAGCGCAGGTTTCGACTCTAAACATGTCTCCTCAACCAACTCCCACTATCCTCAGAACCTATGAGGCTTGGATGCGTCGTGAGAGTGAGGGTGTCAGCTTTTCTGACTGGATCGCTGACGCGATGTCTCGCTCGATTGAATCGATGCACTTCAACTACGCTCATGATGGCCCAGCTGGACCCAGGTAAGTGAATGATTAGACTGTGATTATACTGGTTCAGGTATGTGACTACCACTCCAGTGTCTTACAAGGCAAGTGGATCGTCACAGTTTAATCGTGCTGAGATCAGTGCAACATACCCTTGTAGAGCTGTGCCTGCTAATGCTGAAGGGCTCATCCGCACGCAAATTAATTTTGTGAGGATGGGCACAAACACAAATCAGGCGCGCACTCGTGTTGTCTCGACTCCCGAGAGTATCACCCAGTGTGGTTATGGTGGTGTGGTCACTACTGCAGCAGGCGTGTTGATGGAGCCATCTAGGCAACAGGTTATTATGCAAGCTGAGTCTCTATTACGCTCCATTCGCAGTTCTACCGCACCTTCAACTGTGGCAATTTGGGCAATGGTGTGTCACAATTATTGCATACTTGATTCTCTTGATGAGAATTGGAATTACAATGGCGCGGCTGCCGACTTTGATCCTGTGATGTCAGCTTCTGGCTGTATTCAGGGGATAATTGCACAGGTGGCTAATGGGGCTGATCGCCTACTAGTCATTGAGATGACGATGCGTGATTGGAGAGAAATAGCATGGGTGGTGAGACTATTGTTGTCGAGTGAGACATGCTTCGTACGTGATGGGGAGAACCAATATTGGCATCGTGCTAGATTTTCGCCGAGGCCCGCAGTGTTCATCATATGGTCTCCGGCCTACTGAGATACCTCCAGGACTACTCGTACGTGGGGAACCTTGGGCTGACGCGATGCAACCAGAAGACTTTGTGGAGCCAAATGAGGAGGAGATTGCAGGGGCGCTAAATGTACTTGGCACTGCCTTAGGATGTCAGGGAGACATGGAGGCGGCGACAGTTCACCAGTGTTGTAGAATGACGTCTTATAGGCAGACCAGTGCTACATTGGGAGGAGACCCAGCTCACCGCAAACTGGCTGCCTTGGCTAGGCATAGTGTGAATCACACCATGTGTATCACACTGTGTGATGAGGATCCAATTATTTCAATTGAGGCATACCATTTTGACGCGCCTATGGGGTGGTCCGACTTCTCCTAGTGGTTGGATTGGAGCCTTTAAGTATATCTTGAGTGATAGAGATAGAACAATGACCATAGGCTCTGCAGTGACTAGTGCCCTCGCAGTAAGTTCGTGCTCTTGGAGCATACCTCTGTGTGCACTATTACCGCGTTGTGGAAGCTTCGCTATTGGGATTGTTGAAAACGACAAACGCATCGAATACTATGCTAATTATGTAGAAGCCAAGCCGAACGAGAACTCACCAGTGCTACAACTATTGGCTAATTACTTTCCGGTGATGTTCTCATTTGGTTTGCCGATGAGGGCAGTTGAGACTCTCGAGGTTGGCAGTTACAGCCGAGAGAGAATCAGCGGTGTCAATTTTCATCGCTTGAGTGTGATGAATTGTCCTGATCGGGTTATGTTTACGGCCGACTATCTCGCCCCTGCTGATGGTTTACCCTACTTCTCAGAAGAAGGTGTTACTGGTCTACGTAATGTGGTGTATCGTTATCTCAGTAGTACACAATCATTGACATGTCGACCGGGCGTCGATGGGGTCAAGGTGGCTCGCGAAGGCGTCGACGTCAAGCCTTCGGGTACAGGCGGCTGTCACATGTTTTATGCGTTCAGGAGCGTCGCCGGGAATGCTCCCACTGTTGGTAGTTATATTGTGAGACAGACAGAGCTGCTGGGCGGGACCTCGGTAACTTCGATGACGATTGAAAATAATACAATCAAGAGTCTCGATTACTAGGTGGGACCATTCCCAGTGGAAAGTCTGGACACTATCTTCGAAGGAAGTTTCGTGGCAAATTCACGCTTCGCAGTGGTGCAAGCAGATAAAATTCGCCCTTGCGATGATTTTAAGAGATCTAAAGTCAATCGCACCATGAGATTCCGGAATAAGGTTTCCCTTCCTACCCCGGAAGCCGCTGCAGCAGTAGCCCATGAGTACGCTCGGGCGACAGGAACAGCAAGTCTCAAGTGGTGGAAGTCTGACCACGCGTCTGCTTATAGACAGGTCCCTTGCGATTGCGATTCTCAAAAGGTGAATATCCCCTCCCTTACCGCGGAGTTTACGGTATGTAATTTTGGCCCTCAGGTTACCGTTGTACTCCTAAGGAACCCTTCCACCGGTAAGGCAGCCGCTTTCTTCCACGTGGCTCAACCATTTGGAGCCTCAAGCTCTGTCATAAACTATTGCCGAGTTTCGCAAGCGTTAGCGCATCTCGGCAGAATTCTCCTAGGACTGATACTTCTAAACTTTCTCGATGATTATTTCGCCCCTGAACGCGCTTCCTCCGTGGACTCTGGCTATGCGGCTTGGCGGTGGCTCCACCTCGTCCTAGGCTGGAAATTGAAGGAGCCGAAGTGTGTAGGACCCACGTCTGATTTATCGGTTCTGGGCCTCGGCCTTTCCGTCTCGGGAGAGAGCTTGTGTCTTTCTCTACCGGAAGACAAGAGGGCTAAGATCATCGAGACAATACGAGAAATTGTATCGGAAGATTGTCTCTCTTCATCGACAGCGGCCAAGCTAGCGGGCAGACTTCTATTCGCCTCTACCGTACTACCTTCCAATGCGTGCAGGCCCTATATTCGAGAGATTATTGGTTACTTGTATCGATCTGGCGTTCGCAACCTCTCAACGAGTCGACCTTTCACAATCACTGCGCTACAACGCCTAGAAAGCATGCTCGGCGGCGCCATAGCAGTGCGTCGCATCCCTCTTTTAGAAAGGCCTCACAGAGCTCCTGTTCCCCAGGCCTCCATCTACTCTGATGCAACTTCTACGGGGGGTTTGGGCGTGGTGGTGTACGCCAAAGATTTTGTTCGCCCGCTTTACGCAGCTTGTGAGGCACCGGAGTGGTTTTACGCTGAACTAATTGATCGGGAGACTCAAATCGTCGCTCTAGAGCTATTCGCCGCACTAGTAGCGATCGAGACATTCGGCAAATACGTCTCAAATCGCTCAGTCATCGTTTTCATCGACAACGTGGCAGCT